GCTCCTGCCGAGGGTTCGGATCCCACATACAGACCGGTTCCCGCTCACTGGCTGAGCGAGGTGTGGGAGCAACACCAAGGGTTGCGATCCCATTGCCGGTCCCGGTCCGGTACGGGCGTGACACTGAGGGTTGCGATCCGTTGCCGGACACACAAAAAAATAAAAAAATAAAAAAATAAAAAATAAAAAAGGTAATAGATCTCAAGTACTATTTTGCAGCTCACCATCAATTCTGAAAAAAGTCAGTTTGGAGTGAGGATGCATTTGAAATTTGTGGCTGAAATGAGATTTAAGGCTTATCTTTGACTTTCAATGATCTGTTCTGTCTTTTCTGTGGCATTACCTGTCCACCATTGCCAGGGGTAATTGTGATTTGAGTTTTCACAAGAAGATGACATTTTCTGGGAAGTGCTTTTCTCATTACATCTTATGTGATAAAACTTCTGTGTGAGGAAGCTTCTTAAATCAAATTGGGAGAAGTAACTTGGTATAAATATAAGTCCCATAAATTTAGCAGTGTCTTTGGGACCCAAAAGAACAAAGAAACTCTCAAAGGGGTCTTAAAGGAGTTATTCTAAAGATTTAAAGATCCATTTCAAAGATTTAGGTTTGAAGAAAACAATGTATTAATTGGAAGTACAAGTGGCTAACTCAGTCATTCTACTTTTTAATATATGGCGATGATGCATCCAACCTGTGGTTGTTCAGGAAAGTTTCTCCTTTGAATTATGGACTTGTTCTTCCTCATTCTTGCTGTCTTGCCTGCCTCTAATTTGCAACTGACTACAGATTCCTGGGAAAGCTGACAGAGCTCAAATTGAGTCTAAAGGCAAAAACCAGTTCAATTCCATATGTGAGGTGCATGCCAAAATAGATGTTATTTCAGAAGCATTAATTAAATGAAGTTCATAGAACACATCTAGATAAGAGATTCTAGAAATGTACTCTGACTTGCATCCCAGAACGACAAAGGTAGTGAATCTTCTTAAGCCATTCACTTATTGACAACAGTCAAAGTCTGAGCTAGAGCAGTAGTGTTTAAAAAATTAGTTCCCTTTATTGCTAATACACCCAGTGATTTATTCAGGCACCATGTGGCTGTTTGCCGTCACCGTTTAATAGAATCTTGCTCATGTGTCTGGATCGTTGTTCGTATTATATTACCAGCTCAAATGTTTGTTGTCTAACAAAGCCCTGCTTCCATCTGTAATGCAGGGTTCCCTGATAGTACAGGATGGCAGCTCTTTTAATTGCTTTGCTTATTTTAGCATAGAGAAAGATGACTATACTATTTCAAATACTTCCCACTGCCTTTCATTTAGCTCCATCTCACCTGGGAGCATTCCTGCTAAAATATTGGCATGGTGTGAGTCCTGGATAGTTCCTCCCTCAGCTCTTGCTGGTAAACTTTAGACTTAAAACACATAGAGTCTTTCTTATTGGATATGACTTATCAACCCTCAGGAGAATGGTTATGATTTGCAAGAGGGGAAAGTCTAGTAAAGAGAAAGTAGCCATATTAAAAAAAACTTCAAGAAAACTTATAATAATGACAGCAGAAAATCACTCCCATAAA